CATGCTCTACAGTTTTATTAATTCTGCAAATTTTCATAACAGGTGAATCCTATTTCCTTCAAAGTGGTGACTGTCAGGAATGTCCGTCTGTCCTTCATTATTCATTACTGAAGCACATACATCCTGGGGAGAAGCCAGGCTCCCCACTGCACCCACAGTAACTCAAACAGCACCAGGCACGCAGGTGTCCGGGAAATGAAATGCATTAGGACTCTGTGTGGTTGTTATGAAAACACAGACTTCCGTTTCACTTAGATCTCTGTCACTTAAGAGTTGTCTTTAGGGGCGCCTGGGGGGCTCAGTAGGTTAAGCTTCTGACTTCGACTCAGGTCAAGATCTGACGGTTTGTGATTGGGGATTTGAGCCCCGCGGCTGGCTCTGTGCTGACAGCTCGGAGCCTGGAGCTGCTTCAGAGTCTATGTCTCCCTCTGTCTCGGCCACTCCGCCTCTCTCTCTCTGCCATCTCTCTCCAAAGTAAATAAACAATAAAAAAAAAAAAAAAAAAAGACTGTATTTGTTTCTTCTTTTGGCAGTGTCCGAGCCGAGTGGCTATGCCAGAGGCAGGGGTGAGAACAAGTGGTAGAAATTTTTTGTAAGACTAAGTTTTCTTTTATTATCCCGGCTGGTAACTAAGTAAAAGGCTGAGGGAATTAGTACTGAGATCAGTGGCCTTTCAACTGCAGGGACGGTGTCTCAAGTCTAAATCGTGGCAACAAGGATCAAATAATTTTGAATATTGAAATCAAAAAGTCCTATTGACAAAACGGGCTACAACAAACATGATAAAATTACTTAAATATGTAATAACTAGTAATTCCAAAACGATGCCATTTAAAGTAGTTGAAGAGGGCGTCTGGCTGACTCAGAAGAGCATGCGACTCTTGATCTCAGGATCACGCGTTCAGGCCCCACACTGGGTGTGTGGAGATTACTTATATAAATAAAACTTAAGGGGCACTTGGGTGGCTCAGTCAGTTGAGTGTCTGATTCTTAGTCTTAATTTTGGCTGAGGTCATTTTCTCACATTTCATAGGTTCGAGCCCCATGTCAGGCTCTGAGCTGACAGCAGAGCCTCCTTGAGATTTTCCCTCTCTCCCTCTCTCTCTGCCCCTCCCTCACACACTCTGTCTCACTCAAAATAAATAAATAAACTTATAAATAAACAAATAAAACAAAAAAGGAGTTAAAAAATGTTAATTTATTGCATATATTTTTGAATATGAAAGAGTGAAAATAACCAGATAATACATGAAGTCACACTTGGGAAAAATATTCCTTTTTTTCAAGAAACATTTACTGGACACCCGCTATGTGCCAGGCTAAATCCCAACTACACATTACAAACTACTAACAGTTATCAGGACATGCGTATGCCTCACTGCCCTTTAGCAAACATTAGCATCCGTCAAATCCACCGTGCTAAGCACCAGGAACATGTATACAAACCAGACAAACACTATCTCTGTCCTGGGTTCTCAGAGATGAAGAAAGAAAAACCAAAGAGTTAGAAATTACAAAAAAGAAATAAACAAAGGATGAGGAAACGGTAAGAGGGGACTCTTCTGGATAGGGTGGTTAGAGAAAGGCCTCTCTGCAAAAGCGACATTAAAAAAGAAATGTTTATTTTTGAGAGAGAAAGCACATGTGTGTGCAGACGAGCAGAGAAGGGGCAGAGAGAGGGGGGGCCAGAGAATCCCAGCAGGCTCCGCGCCGTCAGCACAGAGCCCAACTCAGGGCTTGAACTCGCGAACCTTGAGATCATGACCTGAGCTGAAATCAAAAGTCGGTCACTTAACCCACTGAGCCACGCAGGTGCCCTTGAAAAAGTGACCTGTAGGCGCTCACTGATGCAAAGGAGACGGCTCTGGGCAGTTCTGGGGAAACAGTAGACCAGGCAGCAGGGACAGCAAGTGCAAAGGTCCTGAGGGGGGAAATGAGTGTCAAAGAGAAAAAGATGGCAGTGTGGCTTGAATATAGTGAGCAAGGGGGTGAGTGACACAAGCTGAAGTCAGGGAGGCAGGAACCAGGTCACACAAGGCACGTGTGGCCTTGGGGAGAAGCTGGCATGTCATTCAGACTGTAAGGGGAAGGCCATTACGGAATGATTACATTTTTCTAAAAATCATTCCTGCAGCTGGGTGAAGAATGGATTAAGAAGAGGCAAGATAAGGGAATGGGGAGACCAGCTGGGTGATTCTGCCTAAAATTCTACAAGTGGACTATTGGCCGACAGAAAAAAAAAGTGGCAATGCGGAGAGGGCCGAATGGATGCGGGGCCTGATGAGGGACAGGGCGGAACGCAGGGTGGGTCCCGGGCTTCTGGGATGAAGGCTGGCGCCACGTGCTGAAAGGGGGGCTGCAAATCGCCAAGCTCTGTCCTCCACACGCGGTGTCCGTTCCCGGGGAAGGGGGACCAAAGACATGAGCAGTGGCAAGAGCAGAGAGCCCTCATCCGACGCTGGTCTCCACCTCCTGCCCGGGCCTTCCTTCCTTCTTCATGTAACCCCATTCTTCCGGTTCTTCCTTGATCTCACCAGGCCTTCTCAGGCCCCATGCAGCCAGGGGCTCTGGATCCCCGCTTTTTCCTTCAATACACTCTCTGAGGGGACCTCAGCCAAACCAGTCACTGCTTTTACTATCTTACGTGATATCTCCCAAATCTGTATTTCCAGAACTTTCTCATCTCTCCAGCACCGGCGATCCAACTGTCGTCTGCCCACCTGTATTAGGATGTCTCAGCAGCATTGAAAACTCAACAGACCCCAAAGGAACTTCATCCTCATTTCCTCACACGCCATCCCCTCGTCCCACATCCTGTGAGGAGCCCCACCTGCCAAAAATGGGCTCAGCTTCCAAGCCCCAATCCCTAGAACCGCCTTACACTCCTCTTTCAAGCCGACAGCAAATCAATTTCCAAGTCCAATTAAATTTATTCTCTAACTGGCTCACGCATGTATCCTCTCTTCACACCCACTGCTTTACCTCGTGCCCCCCTCTGGACGATTGCGGTCGCAACCCCCCCCCCCCGTCTCAGCCTCACCCCCCCCCGCCCCGGCCTTCAAGGCTCCGCGGAGAAAGAAATGCTTCCCAGCCTCCCACAGTCCTTGGGATAAAGCTCCAGGCTTACAAACGGCAAACAAGGTCCTCTGCGAGTTCATGCCTCTGGCTGGCTCTCCCACCTCGACCGCGCCCATCTCCCTCCCAGGACACACTCCTGCCTCCCCCCACCGACCTTCCAGGAGATCCATTCAGGCCTCTGTGTACACGCTTTCCATCCAAGCACGTCTTAGATCACGTGCTTCTCCCACTGAACTGGAAATTATGTGAAGGCAGGGACCATCCTCCTAAGAGCACTTCTGGTGCTTGATACTTAGAAGGTGCTTCATAAGTGTCTGCTGAGTAACTATGTATCTGGATCACATTCAGGAAGGTTTTCTATAAAAATGAACTGTTAGGTACACCGTCCATGAGCAGGAAAAGAGGACTTGGCAAGAAGGAACATTCAACAGTTTTCTAAAATTAAGCTAATGTTTGTTAGCTGCTGACACTTACACATCAGTATCCACCTTCCATTACTGAAGAGCTGGGCACACCCAAGGTCTACGTAGCTATTATGCTGATGATCTTTTCCTATTAATACCCATTAATATTCAGTTGTTCAGTTCTGCTTCTTTTAGTACCTTGAGCCTAATGAAGATCGTCCTGACGTGGCCCTCACTTGCAATGTCTGGCCTCTTGTGCGTAATTCTGTCTGAAGCCCACAAGATTTCCGACAAACCTTAGTTTGAGGCTATTTCCTACTTGTTTACTTAAAACACAAATATTGGTACGATCACCAACAACCCTCCCCCCCCCCCAACCTTTCTTTCCCCCTCAGTAGAGAGATTTACACGGAACGGACTGTCTTACGCGTACAACATACATCGTCATGGGGACTGAGACTTCTACGTTTACACCTCACCACCGCTGGAATCACTGGTTAAATGATAGTTTTCCTGGTTCCGGAGATTACAGGAAGGGCTATTCCAGGAAAGAAATAACTGAGTAAACTTGTATCCAGTCACAGTGCTGCAACTGACATTTTGAGAAACAAAAGAAATGAAAAAGGCTACGTGGTTCCCAAGGGCTGGCTCTCCCTATAACCATTACTTAACCACGTTCTGAGGCCGCGAATCCTCCGCTTTGAACAACAGCACAAAAAAGTCCTGTGGCCAACGTTTCAGACGCCCATAAAACAACTCCCCCAACGCAATAAATCGAGCCTCGGGTTTACCTTAGGTTGACCCATGAAATTGAGCAGGAAAAAAGGGTCATTTGAGAAAAATATAAAAGGAAAAGGGCCAAACGGGCTTTTCAATGTCCTGCCTTTCGATAAACTGTGGTGACTCTGCCTGGAGTTATTACGGGTCTGACCAAATTCTTTCAAGCCAGGTCACTGCAGGAGTGTCCCAGTCTCTGCTCCGGAACGCGGTCCCTCGGTGGGCGCTCTGCAGGCCACCCGGGAGGCGCCCGAGACCCCAGGGCTCTTCCATCGCGAGCCTTAAAAAACGGATCGGAGCCTCCGAAATTGAACTCACAAGATGAAACAAAACATTCGCTCAAAGCGGGGAAACACACCAACAAAGGCCTCGCAAATGAGAGCCTCACAGCCGCCCGGCCACCCCGCGGAGCGGAGCGCGCGACCCCGGGCTCCTGAACGGGGGTCCCAGGCGGGCTCCGGCGACCCCAGCTCCCCGGGCGGGGAGGTCAGGCGCCCCCGCCCGCCCGCCGCCCCGACAGCCCCCAGGGAGGAGCAAAGTGGGGAGCGCGCCCCTCCTCCCGCACACGCAGGGGTCGGGAGCAAGGCAGGCTCCGCACCCCCCCCCCGCCGGCCCCAGAGCGCGCAGGCCGCGCCCCCTCCCCACCTCGGCGCCCGGCGCGCAGGGCCCGCGGCCGCCGCGAGGGAAGGGCGCCGACCCCCGAGGCCCCCGCCGCCCCGGCCCGGCCCCGGCATCACTCACACAGCGCGAGCGCCGCCGCCAGCACCGACCACAGCCGGCGCCCGCGGGCTACAAGCGCCGCCTCGGCTCCGGAGGGCGCTGCCATCGTCCCGCCGCCGCCGCCCCGGCCCCGCTGCGCTCGGCTCGGCTCGCGGCAGGGACTCAGCCCCGTCGCCGCCCGCGCCCGCTGGCACCTCCACGCCGCGCTCCCCGCTCTCGGCCCCACGCCCGCCCCCGCGGCCCGCTCATTGGCCGGCCCGGCGCCCTGGCGAGGCCGCGATTGGAGGACACCGGCTGCCCATCACGCCCTCTCTCCGCAGGGCCCGCCCGCCCCGCCTCCGGTCCCACCCAGGCTCCCGCCCAGGCTCCTTCCCCTGGCGCCCGAGGCCCGCGGCTCCGGCGGCGCTGGGCTCCCGGCCGGCCCTCCGCCCGCGCCGGTGCCCGCCGGTGCCCGCCTGCCGTCTCCGCCGCCTCGCGGCAGGTCGCGCCCCGCGGGTCTCTGCCCGGCGCCTCCGGGCCGCGGGCCTCGCCTCCGCGTCAGCCCTTCGGCGCCTCCCGGAGCCTCACCTGAGGGAAGGCGGCAGTCCGTTGACACAGGAACGAAAACGAGGGGGCGCGGCGACGATGCCGCCGCCCGCGTGGGGCGCGACCCCGCCCTGCCCCTTGCGAGGCCCGTCCTCTGCCTCCACCGGGTAATTTGTGTCTAAACTTGAGAAATGTGCCGGCCTGGGAAGAAGTCTCCGTCTTGCCCGGAGCTCCTCTCGGGAGCACTCCCTGGGGCGTTCCCTCCCTGGGTGGGATCTGGGACTCTTTCTGCCGCCCGGAACCCGAGTGAATGTGCTTTTTGTTTGTTTTCCTTCTGTCCACAAAACGTCCCTCCGCGTGTCGATAAAAACGGGCGTGGGAAGTTTCCGGCCCTGAAGTGCGTTGAGGACTCAGCTCGGCTACCTTCGCCCGGGCAGTGCCCTGTGCCCGCTGGATGCCCAGTGCATCCTGAAGAGTGTTTGGAGGGGTCCGAGTGAGAAGGCCCACGAGGGAAGAGGAGCACGAAAAGTTGGCGGTAAATGAAGAAGAGAATCTGGGGCGGGGAGTAGAGTGAAGGAAGGAACAAAACGGAGGCAATTAGGACAAGTGTGGGGAAAAGCCTGGTGAGAAAACCCAAATGCAACCTCCCATCTCAGGGTTTTGTCTAAAGTCACCCTTATAAACGTGGGTCCTGATATTTTTGCTCTTTAAGCCTACGCACCTTGTACTGAAGCTCATAATAATTAGCATGAGTGAGAGAAAACTAAAAAAGCATGACAGCGCTTTGCCCTATTTCCCTGAGAAGCGAGTTCCTAGCGAAGTGTGTCTGGAATGTCGTCGGTTGGATAGAATGCAAATGCATTCAGTGAGTAACTACTATGTGCTGTAGAACATCTAGGCTTTATTCCCAAGAAGTGCATACACCACCAGTGTAGACAAACACTACTAGATTTTTAAAAATTTTTAAATTTATCTTATGAGAGAGAGACACAGAGTGTGAGCAGGGGAGGGGCAGAGAGAGAGGGAGACACAGAATCCGAAGCAGGTTCCAAGCTCTGAGCTGTCAGCACAGAGCCGGACACAGGGCTTGAACCCATGGACCACGAGATCATGACCCACGCCAAAGTAGGACATTTAACCAACTGAGCCACCCAAGTGCCCCAGTACTAGAGTTTTTTAAAATGCTTGAAGAGAAGGGTAAATAAAGGAGAAACCCAAGGCCAACAGGGAAAGTGGTTCTTAAAGACACACGTAATGTTACAAGTTTCTCTGACTGTGATGTACCCGAACACACATACCTTCCCCTTCTGAAAACCACTGGCCCAAGAGACGTGTGGGAAAGGTAGATGCAGAGAGGATGTGGCATTTGAGACGGACTTTAAAGGATGAGTATAGGTTCACCAGAAAGTAGCAGGAAAAGCAAACTCAAACGGGAAAGCAATACCAGCTCCAAGAAACAGTGGGTAAATCCTGTGTGGTTTGGAACTTCAAAGAAGTGAGGGAAAGAGAATGCTGCGATGGAAAGAGGATGCTCTGGGCATCTTTTGAAGAACCCTGGGTTGTCTTTATTGCATGGGCAGTGGGGAGAGGAAGGGGAGTGACAAGGTCAAGTCTGTGTTTTACGAAGGTTACCGCTGCAGCAGACAAGGTGAGAGGGAGGAGAGGTGGAGGGGAAGACAAGAAGTGGAGAAACATTCCAGTGAGACAGTGACAGGACTGGGGATCAATTGGATGGGAAGTCTAATCAATAGAAAAGAATCCAGAAAGACAGATGTGACCTCTAGTTTTTGCCCTGAGTAGAGAATGGTACTACCAGGCAACCAAAACTAAGAGCCAAGGAATAGGGGCTCTTGGGTGGCTCAGTTGGTTGAGTGTCTGACTCTTGGTTTTGGATTGGGTCATGATCTCATGGTTTGTGAGTTCAAGCCCTGCATCCCTGCTTGGGATTCTCTCTCTGCCCCTCCCCTGCTTGCTCTCTGTCTCTCTCAAAATAGGTAAATAAACTTATATGTATCAATCCCTATCAAAATAACAGCAGCATTCTTCATAGAGCTAGAACAAACAATCCTAAAATTTGTATGGAACCACAAAAGACCCCGAATAGCCAAAGCAATCTTGAAAAAGAAAATCAAAGCTGGAAGCGTTACAATCTTGGACTTCAAGAGGGATTACAAAGCTGTAATCATCAAGATAGTATGGTATTGGCACAAAAACAGACACATAGACCAATGGAATAGACTAGAGAACCCAGAATTGGACCCACTAATGTATGGCCAACTAATCTTGGGCAAAGCAGGGAAGAGCATCCAATGGAAAAAAGACAGCCTCTTTAGCAAATGTTGCTGGGAGAGCTGGACAGCCACATGCAGAAGAATGAACCTGGACCACTTTCTTACACCATACACAAAAATAAATTCAAAATGGATGAAAGACCTAAATGTGAGACAGAAAACTATCAAAACCCTAGAGGAGAAACCAATCAACAACCTCTTCGACCTCAACCGCAGCAATTTCTGACTCAACACATCTCCAAAGGCAAGGGAATCAAAAGCAAAAATGAACTATTGAGACCTCATCAAGATAAAAAGCTTCTGTACTGCAAAGGAAACAATCAACAAAACTAAAAGGCAACCGACAGAACGGGAGAAGATATTTGCAAATGACATATCGGATAAAGGGCTAGTGTCCAAAATCTATAAAGAACTTACCAAACTCAACACCTGAAAAACAAATAATCCAGTGAATAAATGGGCAGAAGACATGAATAGACATTTTTCCAAAGACCTCCAGATGGCCAACAGACACATGAAAAGATGCTCAACGTCACTCATCATCAGGGAAATACAAATCAAAACCACACTGAGAGACCACCTCACACTGGTCAGAGTGGCTAAAATGAACAAATCAGGAAACTACAGATGCTGGTGAGGATGTGGAGAAACGGGCACCCTCTTTCTTGCACTGTTGGTGGGAATGTAAACTGGTGCAGCTGCTCTGAAAAACAGTGTGGAGGTGCCTCAAATAATTAACAATAGAACTCCTCTGTGACTCAGCAGTAGCACTACTAGCAATTTACCCAAAGGACACAGGAGTGCTGATGCATAGGAGCACATGCACCCCAATGTTTATAGCCAAATTGTGGAAAGAGCCTAAATGTCCATCAACTGAGGAATGGATAAAAAAGATGTGGTTTAAATATATAAGGGAAAACTACTTGGCAATGAGAAAGAATGAAATCATGCCGTTTGCAGCAACGTGGATGGAACCGGAAGGTATTATGCTGAGTGAAATAAGTCAGTCAGAGAAGGGCAGATATCATATGTTTTCACTCATATGTGGATCTCGAGAAACTGAACAGAAGACCATGGTGGGAGGAAAAAGGGGAAAATAGATACAAATAGAGAGGGAGGGAGGCAAACCACAAGAGACTATTAAATACAGAGGACAAACTAAGGGTGGATGGGGGCGGAGGAGAGGGGGAAATGGGTGATGGACATTGAGGAGGGCACTTGGGATGAGCACTGAGTGTTGTATGTAAGCCAATTTGACAATAAATTATATTCGTTAAATAAATAAACTCGTTAGTAAAAAAACAGAAACAAACAAAAAAACCTCTTTGACCTTGGCAGCAGCAATTTCTTACTCAATACGTCTCTGGAGGCAAGGGAAACAAAAACAAAAATGAACTATTGGGACCTCATTAAAATAAAAAGCTGCGCAGTGAAGGAAACAATCACCAAAACTAAAAGGCAGCCGACAGAATGGGAGAGATATTTGCAAAGGACATATCAGATAAAGGGTTAGTATCCAAAATCTATAAAGAACTTATCAAACTCAACATCCAAATAATCCAGTGAAGAAATGAGCAAAAGACATGAATAGACACTTCTCCAAAGAAGGCATCCAGATGGCTGACAGACACATGACAAAAATGCTCAACATCACTCATCATCAGAGAAATACAAATCAAAACCACAATGAGATACCACCTCACACCTGTCAGAATGGCTCACATTAACAACTCAGGCAACAACAGATGTTGGTGAGGATGTGGAGAAAGAGGAACTCTTTTGCATGGCTGGTGGGAATGCACACTGGGGCAGCCACTCTGGAAAACAGTCCATTTTTGAGTTTCCTCAAAAAATTAAAAATAGGGGCGCCTGGGTGGCTTGGTCGGTTAAGCGTCCGACTTTCGCTTAGGTCATGATCTCGCGGTTCGTGGGTTCGAGCCCCACGTCGGGCTCTGTGCTGACTGCCAGCTCAGAGCCTGGAGCCTGTTTCAGAGTCTGTGATTCCCTCTCTCTCTCTGACCCTCCCCTGCTCACGCTGTCTCTCTCTCTCTCCTAGAAATAAATTTTAAAAAAAATTAAAAAAATTAAAAATAGAACCCTGTGACCCAGCAATTGGACCACTAGGTATCTATGCAAGGGATACAGGTGTGCTGTTTTGAAGGGGCACATGCACCCCAATGTTTATAGCAGCGCTATCGACAATAGCTGAAGTATGGAAAGAATTCAAATGTCCATCAACAGGTGAATGGATAGAGAAGATATGGTATACGTATACAATGGAGTATTACTCGGCAATCAAAAAGAATGAAATCTTGTCATTTGCAACTATGTGGATGGAACTGGAGGGGATTATGCTAAGTGAAATTAGTCAGAGAAAG